GCATGGGGGGAAACCTGAGAGCGATGCATCAGGCTCGCCTCGGGCTCAGCTCAGAGGAGGACTTACCGGGGCGATGTTGTAAGTTCTTTGGCACTGATCGCCATATATTTTCACGTCATTTTGGTTTAGATCTTATGAAGATGATGTATATGGTGTAAGATTGTTCAAAGAGCCTCTAAGTTTCTCTCTATTTTCTAAGAACTCCTTGCATTCTATTTTTGACAGCGAAATCTCTGAATTTTACCTCTCTTCTAAGGAAATTCTCTCTTTTTCTGATAGAAGCCTCTACGTTTGACTCTCCCTCTCTTCTGAGAAGCGTCCAACTTCCTTTTCTTTGACGATAAAATAGTTCGAGGCTTTTGAATAAAACTAGAGGCCTTATTGTCAATAAAGAAAATGTAGGGAACTTTTGAAAAGAAGAGGATAAACTTAAAGGTTCCATTGTCAAAAGCAAAAGGTTTGAAGACTTCTTTGCCAAAAGAGATAGAACTCAGGTAGTGCTAAGCATGGTTTGGTACAGACCGAATAAACTGATCGAACCAACCAAAAAATAGCAATTCGGGTTGGTTTTTTGGACTACTCGGTTCGGATCGGGTCGAAAAGTTTTCAACCCGAACCGCCCGAATCAACCGCATATAAGTCATTCACATATTTTCTTAACCCGTACCCGTTAGAAACCCATACCCGTTCTCCTCTTTTAATAATCTAAAACAAAAGAAAACGCCGACCCAAAATTCCCAATTTCTCTCACGACTACATTACAGCGGTTGCCTCTCCATCTTTAGTCACTATCAATCACCATCGCCGCTGACTTTGTCGTCGAATCACCGACGTGCCTCCGAATCACCGCCAATACGCGTCTGACTCGCCGTCGACTCGTTGACTCACCTTCAACTCGCTGTAGTCTCACCGCTGCCTCGCCGTCATTAGGGGAAAATTCTACCTGAAACCCTATCATTTCGATCCATCCCCTACTTTGGAGACACCCGCAGTGGCAATGGAGGTATGAACTTCTTATTAAAATTACAGAAGCAAAGATACTTCTTATTGTGGTTTTATCAAGTTAGCTTTACCTTAACTAAACTTGTAGCTTGCTCATATACTGCTCCAAAACTTATTTTAGTTGTATGTTTGGGCAAAAGCTCCTTATATCATTAATAATTCTAATCTGTTAGATGTATGTGTACTGATTATCTTGTCTATAGGTGCATTGAATTGGTTTTTTATCTTCTTAATAGCAAGTTAAATTAGTCTCAGTTTGACAGTTTGTTAGTTAGTTTTGTGGGATAGTTTGTTGCCTTAATCTTAATCTTCCAAATTGCTTGTGCTGTATCACCATGAATTATACCTCAGGGATAGTTTATTGAGCATATTTGTTATGGAGTTTATTTGAGGGAGAAGATGTTCCAGAGAAAAGGTATTTTCTCATTGTTTTTGTCATAACTTGTTTGTGCCTATATTATGATCATACATTCAAATTTCTAATTCTATTCAATCTCTCAGGTTTGCAAGTACAATTATTTGAAGGGATACTTCATCTCAATGGGTTTATTCTAATTTTTAAGTGGGGATCTTTGAAAGTAAATAATCTATTTTCTTCTTCTAACACTGCATACTTTCAATTCATCATTCAGGCCCTAATATTAAATGTCTGTATATTTTTCAGGTTCGATGGGATGAACATGCCAATATCCAAAGACCAAAAAGAGTCAAGGTGAAGGTTCAATGGTTTCATACATATTTGTTCTGTTTTTATTTTGAACCGAACTAACCGAACCGAACTGCACCGAACCAACTTACAACAGTTCGGTTCGGTTTTGACTAATGGACAGTTTGATTCGGTTGTTCAAAATTTGATAAAAACCGACCCGACCGACCGGTCCGACCATTTGCACAGCCCTAAACTCAGGGCTTTTTAGACTCTGTATTCTCGAGGTATGCATATAGTCTTCCATGTTTCTTGTAATTTTTAATTGTAGCGTGGTCTTAACTTGAAATGCATCTGTTTCCTAACTACTCTGTGACCAAACACTCCTAAAATGGCAGGTAGTTGTATTAATCCCAAAACACGTCGGCTTTCTACGAGCTCCACTTTGGCATTCCGATCGCTAGAGCTATAATCTGGGCCGTCACGACGCACCACGATGCCAACCTTCTCGCTCCAAATATGCTCTCAACCTCATCAATAAAAAAAATTCATCGACCAACTCACCTCCCAACATCGGGAACTCTGACCTCTCTGATCACGACGTCGTCAACTATGAGTCCTTCATCTCCAGTGGCGACAAGAACTTCGACATCAAGTGGCCAATCGACGAGTTTGACGTCCTGTACCTCAGTTACACCTCTGGAACCACAGGGTTCCCTCAGAAAGCAGCCATTCATAACCATCGCTTATCTCAACACCTTGGCGACGCTGATGCTCATGGAGATTCCCTCGACTTCTACTTTACTTTGGACCATTCCAATGTCCTATTGCAACAGATTGAGCTTTATATGGGGGTGTCGTCGTTCAGGGCGGCACCAATGTTGTCCTCCACAATTTGTCCGAAACAACCATCCTCTCTGCCATTGCTGATCATGGAGTCACACATCTGGCAGGCACAACCCCAGTCCTCAATATGATCACAAACGCCGATGAACCCATCCCTCGCCACATCGATATGCTGCTTGGTGAAATACCACCGCCTCCATACATCTTGCACAAGATGGAGGACCTCGGGTACTATGTGATTCATTATGGAGGCCAAACCGAGATGTACTGCTGTGCAGTATATGGTGTCTGGCAGCCAGAGTGGGACACATTACTGTCTGATGAACGAGCACGGCTCAAATCTCAATAAGGTCTATGCATCTCCTGCTCGCTGAGGCCAATGTTAAGGATCTGGTGACCATGGAAAGCGTCCTGGCTGACGATAAGACAATTGGAGAAGTTGCGTATCGGGGTAATAACAAGATAAGCGGATACATGGATCTTAAAAGGACGGAAGAGGCATTTAGAGGAGGATGGTTTCATTCAAGAGACACAGGTGTCATTCACCATGATGGGTACATTGAGTTCAAGGACAGGGAGAAGGACATGGAGGTCTATGATGGCAGGAAGATTGGCTTGATGGAGATCGAGTCAATGATATTCGGTCATCCGGCGGTCTATGTGGCAGCGGTCATGAGGATGTCGTGCGTCTATGCGGAAGTGTGCACGTGCACACACAACGAGTCTGTGATCACGGGGAGAAGATGAACCACACACGAGCACAATCCAATCCAAATACGACAAATCCAACCAAACACAGAGATATACGTGGTTCGGCAATTTGCCTACGTCCACGGGGAGAGGATGGGGAGATTCCACTAAATCAAGGAGAGTACAAAAGGGTTACAATCACACAAAATCACTCAAACTAACCCTCAACCAAAGCTCTCAACTTGCTCACAATATCTCCCTCTCACAATGCTCAACAGCCTCTCTGAATCTCTCAAATCTCTGTTGTTTTACCCTAGAAAATCGTGTCCCTATTTATATCCAAACAAAAACCCAAACAGAATCTAAACAAGAAACCAAACTGTGCAAAAAAACCGTAATAAGTCGACTAAACAGGTGCAGTAAGTCGACTTGGCAGAGAGAAAAACAGCAACTGGAGAACAGTTGGTAAGTCGACTTAACAGGCTTCACAAGTCGACTTGACAGAGCAAAAAATCACAACTCCAGAGCTGAACGTAAGTCGACTCGTGCACAGACACAAGTCGGCTTACCATAAGTCGACTTATGCCTGTGCATGAGTCGACTTATGACAGAAAAACTAGTTTTTTTTGTTTTCTCCACAATTCTCCACCTCGACGAAATTTTGTCAAAACTGAGCCGACACCAAATAAAGAGCACCAATGCGTCGTCTCTCCAAACGCGTTTGTACCAACATGGTTGCCTACGTACCCCATCTCCCAAGGGATCAAGCCGTCCGTAGTTCATCCAAATGGCCGCCAACTGCCTCAACAATTATGAATATGCAACAAGTTTCTGCAATAAACAAACTTGTTGCTCGGAACCACCTTAGTGAGCATAATCGTCGGATTATCCTTTGTATGGACTTTCACAATTTTTACGTCGCCATCTTCAAGAACATCTCGAACGAAGTGATAACGAACATCAATGTGCTTCGTCCTCGCATTAAAAACCTGATTCTTCGCCAAATAGATAGCGCTCATACTATCACAATGAATGGTGACGAACCGCTGCGATATACCAAGTTCCTCCAAAAGTCCTCAAAGCCAAATAGCCTCCTTCACAGCCTCTCTAATCACTATATACTCTGCCTCCGTCGTAGACAAAGGCACTGTCGACTGTAAGGTGCATCTCCAACACACCGACGTACGGGTCAAAGTGAACACATACCCCGTCGTAGATCGGCGCTTATCCAAATACCCGGCATAATCCGAGTCAACATAGCCAATGCATAGCTGCCCACCTACCACCTATAGTGTCCCGCTCATAAACCAAACCAACATTGAGCGTACCTCTAATGTACCTCAAAATTCATCTCACGGCATCCCAATGACCCACTTCTGGATCGTGCATGTATTTCGAAACCATGCTCACTGCCTGTGACAAATCCGGCTTCGTATATACCATCGCGTACATCAAGCTCTCAACTACGCTCGCATATGGAGTCTTCGACATCAACTCTCGATCTTCAACTGTCTTCGGTGAAAGATTAGCTGAAAGCTTCAAATGGGCTCCCAAAGGTACATCAACTGGCTTCGTATCCATGCTAACATGGAATCACTGTAGAACCTTCTTCAAATAAGCCACCCGTGTCAAACAAATTCTGCCCTTCTTCTTGTCTCTGTCGATCTCCATCCCTAAAATACGCTTCGTCCCGCCCAAGTCCTTCATCTCAAACTCATTTGAAAGCTGAACTTTCAACTCATCTATAGCCGACCTGAAAATAAAGGCAACCAACATGTCATACATAAAGCAACAAATAAATGTATGCACCTCCTATCAACTTGTGAAAATACACATAAGGATCAAACTGGCTCCGAGTGTACGAATGACCAAGCATAAAACCATTAAATCACATATACTACTGTCGAGAAGACTGCTTCAAACCGTATATCAATTTCTTTAATCTGCAAACCAACTTTTCTTTCCCTGCAGCTCGGAATCCTAATGGCTGAGTCATATATATTTCTTCATCAAGATCACCATGAAGAAATATCGTCTTCACATCCAACTGATCTAACTCTAATCCATATTGTGCCACAAAAGCTAGCAAAATCCGAATCGAAGAATGCTTCACAATCGGAGAGAAAACCTCATTATAATCAATACATTCCTCCTGTGTATAGCCCTTCGTAACCAACCTAGCCTTGAACCTCACTGGAGTTCCTTCAATGCCCTCATTCTTCGTGTATACCCACTTACAACCAATTACCTTCCGCCCCTTTGGAAGCTCAACAAGGTCCCATGTATCGTTCTTATGAAGATACTCCATTTCCTCCTGCATAGCTACCTGCTACGAATCAGCTTCCGAACTCTGCTCGGCCTATCTGAAAATAGTAGGTATCATCTCATCGATACTCTCCACCGGAAGTGCATACGCAACTATGTCGGCATGTCTCTCCTCTGTCTCCGAACCGCAATAGAATCCTGAACCTGAGCCGTCAGTCACTGATCCTGCACATCAGTACCCATATCCTCCGTGTCATCGTCGTGCTCGCCTAGCGTCACCTCAGTCGGCACTCTAATGGATACTGTACCATCTGGATAATGTGGAGCTGTATCGATATCCACTACCTGTGATATCTCCTTTGTCGAGTTGCTCTCCACCTGATGAGAGCTGGGAAGCTTCAAGATAGAAGCCTCATCTAATGTGATGTCCCTACTCAGCACAATCTTCTTATCAACTGGATCCCAAAGCTTGTATCCCTTGACACCATGCTTGAATCCTACAAATATGGTATTCCTAGCTCGATGTTCCAACTCCAACTTATCAGTTATAACATGATAATATGCAGGGTAACCAAATACCTTGAGCTGATCATAGTCATGTGCTGTCTCTCCCGACCACATCTCCATAGGGGTTTTCCCCTCAATCGCAGATGAATGTAGCCTATTAATGAGGTGGCTCGCATATGAAAGTGTCTCAGCCCTAAAGATCTTCTCCAAACCACTATGCGTCAATAAGCATCGGACCTTCTCCAGTAAAGACCGATTTAGCCTCTCTGCTATCTCATTCTGCTCTGGTGTATGACTAATTGTGAAGTGCCTCTCTATGTCCTCATCTCGACATAGCTGTTGTTTGTGGAAAATTTAATGTAAAAGAAATGAAAAAAAAATTGATTTGTATTCTCTCAAAATCGATTACAATTTGGATTCCGATTACAAAAGAGAGGAGAATGAATTTGATTCTCCCCTTTGTTTAAACCCGGGTTCTTCACGGTGGCGATGAAGTGCCTCCCTCGAATGCTCGTGTTGAGTTTACTCTCTGTTGACGATCCGACGTTTTGATTCACTAGAACGATGTCTTCTCCTCACGATTTGATGTTGTGGAGAACTTGCGTGGCAAGTTTTAGAACTCTGAACGAGTTTCGAAGAACTCTGTAAAGAGTTGATTTGAACAAAAAATTGGTTAATAAACCAAGGATGAAGGCTCTCTGTTGTCCAAGTTGAAGATGATCTTCGTTGGAGGATGATGCTGATCTCCTCAAAAGCTCGCCCAAGGATCTCTCATGTTGCGGCCACGCCGAAGGGTCAATCCGAGCCAAGAAATTCCAACCATTAACTCAGTTGAGTTTTCTCGTTTTTATAGGGGATTAAGGGGGTGTAATCGCCCCCTTAAATCACTCCTAAGTGGTGTGTAACCGCCCCTAAATCGTGGGAAACGGTTTTAGAACCGTTCAGCTCATATTAACAACGCCCAAGTTGGCGTTCAGAACCCTAACTCCGCGTTTTAGACTGGAGACGCG